ACGCGCGTGGCTCACCGTGGCGATGCGGCACGTGCCTCGCATGGCTCACCGTGGCGGTGTAACGACGCGCGTTTGCCGAGCGGGCCGGGTCCCACGTTCACCGTGGCGGTGTCACGACGCGCGTCGCTCACCGTGGCAGTGCCTTGCCGCGCGTGGCGCCGAACAGACCGGGTCCCACGTTCACCGTGGCGGTGCTACGACGCGCGTTTGCCGCGCAAGCCGTGTCCCACGTTCACCGTGGCAGTGTCACGACGCGCGTTCAGACCCCCTGCCGAGCTCGCCGGAGTCCCACGGTCACGGTGGCGGCGAGCAATCCTCCCGGCGACATCTCCACCAAAATATTAGTGGAGATATGCCCACAGCGCCTTAAATCGCCAGAATATTCATGGAGGTGCCCGTCATAGTTACGAAGAGGCGTTGTCAGACGGTGAGTAGCGATTCAGTTGGGAACCGTCGTGAAAAACGGACGGTGAATTATGAGCATCATTTCTTTCGATTTAAAAAACCGATTGTTTGACGAATACTGCAATTTGAGAGCCTTCTAAAATCCTGAAAAAATAACCAGTGGGAGCGGCTTGGAGAACATGATTTTTTGACATACTAACCGTGGGAATTTGATCGCTGGATAATCCTCCAGGCCCTTCTCACCGTTTTAGGAGGATATGATGAATTACGGAACGACTACCAATATAAAGTGAGGTGCGAGAACAGTTCTGGATTCAGTACTTCTGGGGCTATGCACTGACACCCCAAACATCCAAAACTGAGACGCCCGGAGGTCAGCCTGACCTCCTGGCTGGGACAGGGGTAGGGCTAGGCAGTCAGCCCTGCATGGTGAAGGACATCGAATTGCGACCTTGAGGCGCCGCATGCAACTAAATACATGGCGATTGTACTCTGCATCTCATTTGCGCGTTCGTTATAGGCTTGGACAAGTAGCGAGATTGCAGTGGTGAAAACCTGCCCATACATCATAAGACGGAGCTTGCGGGACCTTGCTTTAGGTGAATACTCACTAAATCGACATTGCGACGCGACCGATTCTCGGGTGAGGATGGCTCTTTCCGTTCACTGTTTCCTATCTCCCGTAGGAGTCGCACTGTAGTCGGGGCGAGCTCTGTGGCCTGTTCAAGTTTCTGATTGAGCGAGAATTCGTTTAGGCGCTGGGCAATCGGTTTCTTGTGGTCGGGCTGCAACAGATCACGAAGCTTGCGACCTTCAGAGCGGATAATGTCGACGACCTCGTCGATCGCCCATGGCACAACTATGTCGGGTCGTCGGGTCCGCATGGCATCGAGAATCTTGAACCCGTGGGTACCGAGCAGGTGGGAGACGTGCCGTGCGAGGTGCTGATCTCGAGTGCTGAACAGAGAAACAAGGAACTCATGGAGAGTGTGTATTCCCTCGTCTTTCATGCCGGCAACAATCCGTTGAATGCGCGCAGCAGTATTCTGTTGCACCTTGTCCTCTTGAATCTGCTTCTCCTCGGCATGTACGTGCGCGTTGCTAGCTGACTTCTGCTCGCGTTCAAGCTGGAGTTCCGCTTGTCTTTGGTGCAACTGCTCCGTGGTTAGAGGTTCGAAAACCCGCCGCTTTGCGCGTTTTCTTGTACCGGGTGTCTCGTAGATAAAGGTTGGCCCATTCTCAGGCCCAGTTTTGCGTTTGGGTGGCATCCTCGGCCAGGGACAGATTCGCGAGCTGCGGTGGACGCGACGCGACGCGACGAGAGCGCGTCAAGACGATCCCGATATGGTAGGTGCGGAGTTCAAAAATCCACTGTACTCACTTTCGATGCAGTGCTACCAGTCTCTCTGCACACTATATCCCCGCGCACACAAATTCCTGCCTCGCATATCCCTTACTCAGATACAACTCGCGTACGTACTTGGATCCAGCATTGCGTACTGTACTAGGATTGTGCAGAGAGACTGGCTCACGAGTCTAGGACTTCCTAGGAACTCGTTGAATATGGACTGGTAACAAATCGCGGACGACGGTCCTCGAACATGTGGGATAGGTGGTCTGTAGCCACGGCCATGGTGGATAGAGACGACCACAGGCTGCAACGAGGCGAGTTTGATAGAAGCTCACGAATGTCAAGATACTCGTAGTCAGCTAATCGAACGCCCACGAACTTCATCTCCGAGGGCACGAGATAGGGATTGAGGACATGTGCATATGGTAGTATGCGGCGATGGATGCTTGGTTCTCCAGGATTGCGTGCAAATACGCCGAGAAGGCGCGGCCGGTCGTGTGGACGAGCCTGGATAGCACTGGATGAGCTCATGCGACTTCGATGCGACCGAGTAAGGACAGGGACCACGGACGATGGAGCTTCCAGTCCGAGACGGGCTCGGAACGCTTCACCGTGCCCGTCCGCCGTCGTCTGGCCGAGAGGACAAAAGTGAACCCGAGACTGCCGTCGGTGATGCCGATGAGCAAGGGCGCGTTGGGAATGCGCCGACGTTCTCACGCTTTCCCCCGCACTGACCGTCGCATATCAACCCGCCGAGATGGCTCTGGGTTTCCCCCGCATTCTCTCTCTCTGCCCGTTCGCTGTTCATTTGCTTTCGTGTCTCCGTAGATCCCCGACGATACCCTTTGCTCCCAACTCGACATAGAGAGGGTTGTCGCCTCCCTCCATAGACTAGATATTTGTCGGCGCTTATTCAGGGCCTGACTCGACACCATAAAGGGTTATTGCGAAGAAGAGATGACATCCTTAGAGGCCGTCAGGTGCGTCATTCACGTATTTCTCTTCCTTTAGTTATACTGAACGTGTCGTGTGATACAGCTCGCGTATTACGGCTATCCTCAATGACGGCCTCCTCGCCGAAAAGCAGCTTACCGCCAACGTTCTCACCAGTCACCCCTTCGCCGATGCCGCCCGGTGCAACATAGACAGTACCATAGCAAACCTGCTCGCAAGCACTCAGGATGCGCTCCTTCACCTGCGCCGTTCTCGCAACACTCTCGCATCCATCACGCGCCTCCCTCCCGAAATTCTTCTCCATATCTTTTTCGCTTGCCGCGATCTCTGTGCTTCCACCTCTCCCGATGCCTGGGTCGCGCTCACCCAGGTTTGCCACCAGTGGCGCCAGGTTGCGCTTGGCGCACCCCTTCTCTGGAATCGTATAGACCTCCTCAACGCTCGATCGAGGTTGCGTGCTCAGCAACGCGCTGCGCTCGTTCCACTCACTATTCGCTCCGACCTTGTTGCATCGGGCATTGTCTCGTCCGCACAGAGCTTCTTCGCCGACAATCTCGCGCGGACGCACCATGCCACCCTCAGCCTCCGCCCGAGACAGATGGAGCAGCTGATACCCGCGCTCTCTGCCCCCGCCCCCATCATCGCCAGCCTCGAGCTGCACATGGAACTTCCGATGGGCTCCCGAACGACGTACGAACTCCCAGACGCCCTTTTCGATGGCCGCGCACCGAAGTTGTCCTCGCTCGCGCTACACGGCTGTCGCTTCGCAGAGGGGTCGCGCCACTTTTACGGCCTCACCCAGCTGGCGCTGTCACAGAGTCCGTCTGCATCGCGCATGTCCACGCAGGGCCTCATGGACCTGCTGCTCAACAACTCTGGACTTGCCTCCCTTTCTTTGGAGCACATTCTGCCGGCCTTCGCCGCTCAAGGTCTGGAAGACATGGAAGCAGACGTCTCTATTAACATGCCGGCGCTGCGCTCGTTGCGCGTAACCGACGCCGTCGAGTCCTGCACCGCCCTCCTCAGTTTGCTCATCCTTCCTCCGGACGCTAGCATTTCTTGCACAACTACCACTGGCCTAAGCGCTCTCGACCATCTCCTATCCGCTCTCAATTCACACTACATGCGAGGCAAACCCCTACTGGCTTTTGGTCTCTTCGATGGAAAGGACGCGCAGGGCAGCCTTCGAATCCACGGTTGGCTTTCCGGCACTTTCGCAGCTTTGCGCGCGAACCCCGCCCTTTCCCTTTCCCTACAGACCGACGTCAAGCTCGCCCCGATGCTCGCCCTCCGAGCCTTCGGCAGCGGTCTCGAGACCTTCGTTGCGGAGCGCGCGATGGATGTGCAAGACTGGCTACTCCTGATATCTCAGCTGCGTGGCGTGCAAACCTTGCGAGTCAGTGACGCAGCGGGGAGGGGACTGATAGGTGCGCTGGAACTGCCCACCGGTGAGGGCCTGGAGCCGTTATTGGCCAGCTTGCACACGCTAGACATCTCTTTGGAATCTTCCTCCATGCTTCCGAGCAGGCTCAGGCCGTGGAAGGAGGCTCACGGCAAGGCAGGCTCTACGCTGCGGAGGTTGCTTGTCAGGGAGAGCGCAGCAAGCGTCACTCCTGATGTCGCCGATGCCCTAGATGCTTTAGCGGAGACAGTAGAGCATCTCCCACTTTCTTGCTTATGACTTTCATGCTCCCCCCTTATCATTGATATGTTAGACGCGTAATTTTTGGTAATGCGTGCCGGTAATGCGTGTAACGTAGCTAGCGTTTATGTACGCCCAGTCTAGTTCGTGATAAATCCCTGCAGCGTCTCGAACACCCAAGAACAGGAAACCCAACACGATGTAGCTATGTCTTAAATGGTCACTTTGCCCAGATCGTGGCGTTCAAGAAAGTCCTTCATATGCCGGACTATGATGTCGAGTCCTGCGAGCCATTTGGTGAGCTCGACATCGAGCCGGGCGTGCTCGTCGTGCGCAGTAGGTGAAGACTCGGAAATACGCGCGTAGAAATCGGCTCGATGTGGCGTCGCCCGTAGAGCAATCTAAGGTAGCACATAATCAACATGGGACAGAAACAGCATCTAGGTCAGGACATACGTAAACAACGTTCCGGATAGCCCATTTGTGATGGTGCTTAAGAGTGACGTCGTATGCCTTCTTGAAGCTTGCGTGCAGAGGTGTCTTGGGCTCAGCTTGCGTGTTCCGAAGCGAGATGAGTGTGAAAGCCAAACCCCTGCGGCATGTGAGCGCCCGTCCAGCGGGACGTAGTGTATACTGTAACATGCCTCAGTAGTCGGACTAGGCAGCCCGTAGCGTGCTTGTGCCCGTCGTCGTGCTCAGCGAGTACTAGCTTCTCCAGCGTCGGTGAGCGATCAGTATGGGAATCGTGCCGGTGTCGCACGCCAGATATGTTCATCCGGAGATCGTGCTGGACGAACGTGAAGACGCCGATGCCAAGCAGATCTAGTGATGGAGTGGTGAGACCTTGTAAGCCGCAGGTAGACGCCTGTCCTACCGAACATGTTCATGAGCGCATCGCTTGCCTCGAGGAACGCGACGGTGTCAACACCATCGTCCCCGATGGGTACGTCCGCAAACGACTTGGCCGTCTCAAAGTAGGGCGCCATGGTCTGGGAGAAGTGCGGTCGTGGCAATGTTGCGTAGGACAAGCAGGATGCTGCCCCTCGGCTCGGCACGACGATCCCGCATGTTGTGGAGAAACGGGAACGGCAATGATTACATCATCGCATTCTCGAAGTTGGCTCAAGCTCGTCACATATTCCAATGTATATTGATACAGCGGTCAAGAAATACGGCAGTTCCCTAGTCATACACAAAAGACACGATACCCACCATCTGTCACTGGGTCTCACTCCTCTTCCTCCTCTTCCTCGGCCCAATCTATGTCCTGCAGAGCTGCTTCGCCCTCGTCGTACAGTTTATCCAGACCCGTCAATACTTCCAGGTACTTCTGCTCGTTGAAAGCTTTGAGAAGCATATCAAAGCCGTCCTTCTCGTAAGCTTGCAGCACCTGTGTGTGGTAACAATTACCCAGATATTCTTAGCCACGCAGAGTCGTAGTCATACCGTTTCGCTACAACCTGTGCAACGATCGTACGCAGCGCCAACGATGGGTATATTCCTGAATTGCGCCAGATAGCCTCGCAATTGGTGGGGAACGAGACCGAGTATGCTCGCGGAGGCGTTCGGGTCAGATAGATCTGTTGATGCTTGAGGAGGAGGCGCTGGAGCATTGATTCTAAAGGGATCCCGCGTCAGAATAGATCACGCGTCAGATTGGGCAGAAAGATGCATCTCTCACCCATCCGGGTGCTGCAAAAGCGACACAAGCAACTCGACCGCTGTCGATGATGCGATGGACGCGAGACCAGGTCGCGTCACTGTACACATTTGATCCAGTGTACGGTCGGTCAACGACTGAACAGGAGTGAGAGGAGGACACCCCATAGTCAATGTTGGACTTACATCCGCGGGCGCAACAATGTCGTTACAGTAGTAACAACCAAGTCTTGTCCCATTAGCATTGGATGAGCGGGCACCGTGACGCATGACAAGGAATGTGTCGAAACCCAGCGCAGCATTCATGACAATCTGCCATGGGCTTGTCAGGTTCATCAGCCCGTACAACGGAGTAACATCACCTTGCCTTGCCTTTCGCTGCTCCAAGCACTGTCGGTAACCATCGGCTCTCGCGCGAGTCCATGAGTAAAAAGACGACATCATGTTCGTCGAAGAGCTTTTCCAAAGTCTCCACGTCCTTCTTCGCCTGTTCGACCGAGCCAGCTGGAATCGGATGACCGGGCATGGGAATGGACAAGCTGTGGCCACTCGCATTCTACGCGTCGTGAGCAAGATACGACCTGACAGCGTAATAACATCACGTACGACGCCGGGAAATATCTTCCTCAAGCGCTCTGCTGCACACGCCGCTTTAGGCTTGCCCCCGTCGAGGCAGTCCTCGAACTCGAAAAGCGGCTGCCTGACGGGGTTCGAGAACGACACGCGAGCTGAGTCCACGAAGGTAATGGTTCGAACTCCCCATCCCTATCAATTCTCGTGGTCAACGATAATCAGAACATATTTGGCAAGTATACCCACCATGAGCGTTCGCGCCACATAGCAACCGAGAGTCCCGGCGCCAAGAAGTAAGCATCGCGTTTGCGCCACCTTGTCAAGATCAAGCGCGGGAAGGATACGCCAGCGCATTAGCTTGAGATTCAAGTCGACCGCCTGATCCGCGAGCCTATTTACTCGTATGAACATTGTCGGGAGCGAGAGCGAAAGCCGACATACCGCGTCGGGTCCATCATGGGCGCCAAGTCAGCGATTCGAGGCCCAAGTTTACCCTGCACGTTCTTTTCCCAACCCACGGCGCTGGGGCGCTCAGCAGCGTCAGCAGCCGCTTCTGGAGAGGAAGGCTGCGACAAGACACCAAAGCGAGATTTCCAAGACGTGCCTGATACGAGGAATGAACATCGTTTAGAGTATTAATGCGAGAAAAAGGACATACCCTCTATAGGGACAATTTCGTCTCTCCAGCAGATAATACGAACACCCTGGGCAGTCTTGGGCCACAATGCGCGAAGAAACGCAAGCAAGTTTCGTAGTGGCCAGCCTGGGTTTTCTGCTAGCGCCGAGGGGTCGACGAAACCGATAACTTGCTGTCATGTCAAACGGGTGAGAATTCATGTGAACTAGTGCGTTAACATCAATTAGATGGTTTTACCTGCTGGCTCGCAACGCCTTCGAAGAAACTGTCATATTCCTGTATCGCTCCGACCTCGTACTCAGATGGTTGCGTTGGCGAGGGCCGAGCCAGAAAGTACGGTCCGTGGTGCGATCGATTTGCAAGAGCAGTGTGGATTGACATCAACTAATAACTCGTCAACAAATCAGTCCAGGCCGTGAAGCTAGTGAGGCATGCCTGAGGCATCGTAAACTGTTTATCGGCCGGTGTCAAACCTGCGGGCGAGATCTCCCATGCGGGTTTCGATAGGAATGCGGGGAAAGCAAACCTATTTCACGTCAGGACACGCAAGCATTGATAAAACCAGGGTAGAACGTACGGACCAATAATAGTACTTGTACTTCTTCAGATCGGCATAAGCGATCATGATAAACTTGGTCAGCGCCTCGGGTGACCGCGTAGTGATCGCTGTCTTCCACATCTGTTATTTGGTAGTTCAGCCGTTAGACTAACTATCAACGACATTCGACGCACCTCGTCAGCTACCTCGTTGAACAACTTGCTCTTGTCCGCTGCTTTGAACTCCTCTATCGTGTTGAAGTTCTTGAAGATGCCGTCGGCTTTCACAACGAGAGGCGGGCCTCCTTCATGCGTCTCCGCTGGGCCCAGCACGCCGCCACTCGTTACTGCGACATTTCCTCGGTTGACCTTGTCAAACGCGTTCTCTCCGAGACCGATGGTGCACCCGAGCGCCACATCTCGGCCTGTCTCGCGATCATGCACGGTGCGTCCCACCGAGTACGACGCAGTCACCGGTATGGGTGCATCCGACAGTCGCAGTACATCGATCTTCAGCGAGGTGAGAGCGTGCCAGAACGCGGGCGACACGACAGAGGCGAAGGGCGTGAATTGGACCAAGGACGAGCTCGGCTGCGTCATAACAGTGCGTTGGCTGATTCAGCGATTATTGACTGCGTCGATTCTCTTCAGAGACGGTGTGGGCGATAGACAAAACGTGAACGAGCAAATATCGATTGAAGTTTCCGCCTCGGGAGCAGAGATCAATGATATGGAAACGCGTCGCAGCAACGCGCGCCTGCGTACCCGATTTGGCAATGCCCCTGAACACGGGCATGTTACAGCACAATAATATACGTACAGTCCTACCGACACATAATTACATTCGCGTCCCGAATGGTTTGATATCGGCAATAACACGGCTCTTGGGCTCTTCACCAATCGGTCAACTCGTCTTCGTCCTGCCGTGCAGCTCCCTGCCCATCCCAATCTACTGTGCATGCAGTCCCTCGGAGTCGCGTTATAATTTCTTCCGATACACCAACACAGCTTCTCATTAGGAGCCGCGCCACCGGATGTCCCATCTTCGCCCTCTCAGACAGACAATCTGCGATGTCGGTCACATAGCCTTCCAGAGGCAGGTGATCATGCGCCCAGACGGGAGCACCGCGCACGGGACCGATTTTCACGTCCTCCAGGACAATCTCCTGGAGATCTGGATACGGGACGGAACCATATGCGTCCGGAGTATGGAGAGCCTGGAAAACGGTGTTCAATGCGGCAAGGTTACCGGCAATGAGATTGTAGGGCGAATCCTCGGAATCTGAGGATAGCACATTTCCGATCTGGAGCATTTTCACATGCGGGTGTATCTGCAACAGTGGCAAGAAGTCGACGTTGATCGCCCAGTCGGGTTGGTAGGAAATGCCTATCTCGGGCTTGAAGATCAAGCGGGTGATGTCGGCGAGGAACGGCAGAGCTATGAGCGGCCTCACGGTCTCGACGTGCTCCCGCAGACATATGGGGTCGCGGTGGAAGCAGTCGATCTTCAACGAAATCTCTGGATTGTCGCGCATTCCAGAGGACCATCCGCGGATCTCGATGTCGGGCAAGCCCAGGTAAGCTTCCTTGATCCGTATTGTAGGGTAAGCGGTTAGGTGTTCGGTAAGAACAGTGATGATATCGGCAACTTGAGCTTCATCGGCCAAACGATGATTGTCTTCAGGGTCACCCAAATGGCCATCGGCCTTATGAACGGTAAACTTGCGCGACCGCAAGGCGGGTGCGGAGAGGCACGAGAGGAAGTGTGTCAGGGACTCCGTCTGGTCGTTCACCGTGAGCCACCTGAGGTTGTTCAATACGAGAGTGATGAATCGAGGTGGTTTCTCAAGGGGGAGATGATTTGTTAGATGAAGCCGGCGTAGGCGACTCGAACGTTCGAGTAGCGACTCCAGATCGACCCACGAGAGCCTCGGGAGCACCCGTTCAGCGACAATATTCCCGGTATGATTCTCCATGGAGAGCGCGGTTAAGTCCCCAAAAAGACTGGAATGTAAAGGAAGTCTGATACAATCTAGGGAGAGGCGTCTTAGACGCGGCATCGCGGACTCGGACAAACTATCCAATTCCCCGTAGCCAGGACCGCGCCAGGAAACTCGTATCTCCTCGAGAACAGGCCAAAAAGGCTGCTTCAGTGAAGGTAGTATGCGGTCGAACAGTGCCAGATCGCCTGAGATATCAATCGCGCGTATCCGCTTCGTTTCTGCAAAGGCGGCAGGGATGAGAGGCGATGGACGTTTCCTTCGTGAATGATTGCGATCCAGCTGCAGATTTAGCAGCGCACCCTGCGACCTGCGTAGTAGTTCTGCTGTCAATGATGGATGGAGTTCGAAAGAGGGATTCGTCCATAAAGCTGCGGAGCTGGTGCTGAGGGCGCGCCATGACTGGCATACGTGTGTGACGGTCAAACGTTCTGCATGTTGGAGCCAGATATGCCGAGGTTGCCTTCCAGCAGTACGTTCCGGGAGGTTCAAGAAGATTTCCAGCAGTAGCTCTGACGGCAGTTTGGATATGGGGACGAGCTCGTTGCGGCGGGATCTGAGTGTTCGCACTGTTTCAGCGAGCCTTTCTACATGTCTATCCACCTCGTCTGCGCTCATTGCATTGACATGCAAGCGAAATTCGGCATCTTTTGTAGCAAGAGCCTGTGAGCATGCCGTGAAGCAACGCGAGGACAATCGGAGCTCACCTGCTGCTATAAGGCGGGCCACCGCTGCTTCCTTCGATGGTTGGCCGTTACCACTGGGGACAGTATCGCATGTCATGGCAGAGATGCGATATTGCAGAGAGATTCTACTTATCGTCCCGGTTGTTGGTCGAGAGGCCGATGTCTGGGTACCCAGCTTCGTCCAGACGGCAGCGCGGTGCTGCAGGGTAACATTGGAATGTCATGTGATAGATACAGGAGTGCAGCCACCCGTAGCGATTCTGCCAGCTCTACTTGAGGTGAACGACTGGGGCCTTTTCGCTCGTACGGACTGCGCCGTTGCACGCCTGACCTTTCACTCGCATGAATCTGTCAGCTCTCGCAATCTCACGCACGGGTTGCCTGGTCAAAAATGCCGGGGATGCGACGCCAGGCGTGGCCCCTGCTCACCGTGGCCTCCGGCGACTGAACAATGAGCAACGCCTCTGTCGAATTTCCATAAATTGGCTTGTTTATGTGCCCCAAGTCGTCTGTGGGCTTGCTTTGTATTATACCAGACTTCTCAGATGTCCAACCGTCACAAGCGGACCCCAGCACAGTCCAGCGAGGCCCGTGCACGCTTGCGCCTACTCCAAGCTCAGCAATGCGACAGACACTTCGCTCGCGATGAACGGAAGTCCATTGAGATGCTACAGGTATGCCCCTCCTCAATATGCTGGACTTGGCTCACTCTTCGTTAGCGCTGCCCCATCCCCGACCACTTTTCCAATGTCAAGACCGTGGTTTCTGACCTAGATTCCCAACGTCGTGCCTTCCGCAGCAAAGACGGGGTGGCTCCCGAGACTTCTTCATTCCCGCTCACTCTTCATTTTCGAGTTCCTTCCGCACTCTTGGGACCGGGAAACGAAAGTGATTCAAATGCTACTCTACAAACCGGGCTGGAACCAGGCTCGACCCCCGGTGTGAATGTCATTGTCGGTCAAAAGGAAGATAGTTCTTCCGAGCTTGTCAACTTCTCGTCCTGTGAGCTTGTTGCTTCGTTTATATGCCATTGACGGGCTTTGGTCTCACACTCAGCGCACAGCGGTCACCGGTCACCCGTTGTCACCTCCGCCGGTACAGCTCTCCCGCGAAGACTTGCTCTCCTTTGGTGACGACGAGACAATTCGTGCCTCAGGTCGCTCTCCTATCAAGAAGACATTTGCCTCGTACGACGAAGTTTCCTTGGCCAACGAATTCGGCGAGTTTTTCGGATCCAATTCTGACTCTTTCGAGGACGAGAAAACGTCGGTCCACGTGCTTGCGGTTGGCGAAGATTCATCAGACGTTGGATCCGACGGCGAGAGCACGTTTTCATTCCACGCGTCGGATGACGGAACCAACTTTGAAGATTCCTTGTCCGACGGACAGTCAGGAGCTCACGTTAACCAAGAGACCGACCTCGACAATGATTCTGTAGACGATGAAATGGAGGATTTAGACGTCCCACCTCCACGTCCACCCTCACGACTTTCACTTCTAGACGAAGAAATCGAAGACGAGCCTCCGTCGTCCGACTTCGTGTTAACTGTACCACCTACGGAAGACAACAACGACGCCGTGGACGAACAGCAGGATGAAGAAGACGAGGCGGCGGATCGCGCGATCCAACGCGCACTTTCCGCCCGACGTGCTCGGTTCTTCCACACTGAGTCGCGCACCGCAGTCGCCGACATGCGTTATGTATTGTTCTCGTCTCGCTATATGTCCGACGGTGGCAACCCGCAATTCGTCGATGAAGAAGAGGAAGAAAACAGCAACTGCCAAAAAGGAGGTGCATGCTTGCGACGCGCACCGGTCCCTTGCGCTCGCGCTTCCGAGATCTGGACAGATAATCGAGGCCGGAGCGCCGTCGTCCGTCGTCCTTTGGTGGCGATCGGTGCTCGCACACGTTAAGGGTAGTGGTTAACTAGTAACAGGTGGTTCGCGAAGGTCGAAACGTACCCATGACGCTTCCTAAAAATAATCCACGAAAAGTATGAAGAACTTATATACCCCTATAATCCACCTAGTCGATCATGTCAGTCTGGTTGATGATAGCATTATGCGAGTCCTGTGACTGTCGGCCGCTATACAAGCAAATCCCGTAAAGTACGTATCTTAGCAGGTATTAATCCATTGTCCTGGTCAATCAGGCAGATTGCCATGCATTACAGAGAATCCAACATAGACAATGTGATCAGAAGTGCGGGGTAGGAACTGGGCCTTCATGCTCCATCGAGTGGCGTGGATGTCGATCCAGCCATTGAGGCCGGGCTTCGTTTGACGGTGTTCTAGTATGTGTCCTCTCAGCTAGCGGGCTTGAGTGCACGGGAGTCGTATTCGGGACCCCGCTTCTTGCGGTCCCTGTCGTAACGTCCATGCTAGACAAAGCAGGCGGCTCTTGGCTGAGTGCTGAAAATAGGGCGGTCATCGAGTCGCTGCGGTTGTGAGGTGGTGTAGAGGGCGTATCGGACGATAGAAGAGAAGAGTTGCTCCGGTTGTGATCTGCGAATGAGGATTGCGACGCTTCCTTGTGACCGTCATCGTTCGCTTTTGGGGGGCCCATCACATCCTCGATGATACCACTGAATCGTACCTGGCTTGGTCCCTCGAGTAAAGGATCGACAAGCCGACTAGAATCGGCAGGAGGCGGCCAAACAGATTCGCGAAATATGCTTCCCGACTCCGATGCTCGTGGACGAAACAGCCTCGGTTCATATGAGGGATTAGTGTCCGCAAGGTTCGGTGTATGGGGTAGCGATGCGCGGAAAGGATCGGCGTAGCTTGCATAAGGAGGGGAATCAGGAATACGCATTGCGGGGCCCCTGAACGAAGCAGTGCTTTCCGATGGCGTATGCATATGCGAAGGTGTGGCAACGCCGCGGGAAGGCGGATAGTCGTGATACCGCGAGCCAGGTTGAAGGTCAAGGTCGTCGTCGTCGAAGTCCTCTCCGGCGAGGAGCTCACGCCGTCGTCGATGTCGCTTAAGACGATCGAGGAACCAGAGCTGCTTGAGCTTTCCCCGGCGGTGTCTGAACAGGGCAGCGAGCAGGAGGGTAACCAAAAGGACAATCCCGACAGCGGCGCCGACAGCAATGCCCACTGTGCGCGTGTGCGATGAAGATGAGGAACTTGGGCTATCCGGTAGGGTGGTAGGTATCAACGAAGAAATCTGAGGTCTTTGCAATGAGCGAAGGGAGTGGCGGAATCAGGAGCGACGCACTGTGGTTGCCTTTCCATCGACAGTTGTTACAAACGATGACGTGATTGTCGTCTTTCCTGATACGGTTGTAGATGGGGTCGTGGTTGTGGACGTGGAATCCGTTGTGATAGATGTCGAGGACGATGTGGTGAGACTGGTCGTCGAAGATGTTGAGGATGAGGTTGTTGTACTGGTTGTACTTGAAGACGTTGTCGTACTAGTGGAAGTGCTCGTGGTCGATGAGGTGGTCGTTGATGTGGATGACGAAGTGGTTGTGGTGGACGATGTAAAGGAAGAAGTGGAGGAAGTTGTGCTGCTACTGGTGCTACTCGATGAGCTTGACCCTGAAGCGGAATTGCTGTGCGTAAAGTGTCAGTAGGGTCAGAGGATGTACAAATAACTTACGATGCGGTTCCGGAGTCACTACCTGAGGACACACTTGACGCGGAGCCCGTACTCCCAGATGCGCTAGCGCTTGCCGAAGCAGAGCCATCACTGGCAGTAGGGTCGGACTGTACCGCGCTGCTGGCAGAACTCGACGGGGTCTGCCGCCTCTGTCAAACCGCATAAGTCACGGCCTTCCGAGCTAGAGGAATGCTGCAAGCACGTACGAGCAAGGGCACTCCCGCAGTCGGGGTGGACAAGACGCCTGTAGCCGACGGAACAAAGGCCGCAGTTCGATATGCGGGCTGTGCTACGAGGCCAATATGTCTCATAGGTGGTGCGATATTTTGCATGGTATCGGCGCGGTATATAGGATTCGCTGTGAAGACGGAGGCGGAACTGGGAGTCTCGGGGAAACCGAACGGCCTATGTAAATGCGCCGACGTTGTTCTTCGGTCGTTATGCGGAACACGCTGCTATCCACGGCTGTACAAACGCTGGCAGAGCTAGCCGTCTTGCAGCTCGAGTTGGAGGTCCAAGTGGCATGAAAACAAGTCGTTGCTGGTAACCGCTGCGCGCGCCGGCGGGTTCACACCGTGTGAGACGACGGCGCGGCCCGTCAAGCTTTCAAGCCAAGTCCGAGCCCTCAGTCTCCTGCGATGGTTACCGAAGCCAACTTGTTTTTTTGCGGACTCTGCCTCGACTGTCTGAAATTTACTACCGATACACGACCGACCATTGCTTCCAGAATTGAGCCAGGTTGCAAGTAATCCTGCGATGTTTCCGCTGTTATGCTGCGCGCATCAGGCACAGCCCAGGTAGCGACAGAGGTGGACAGGCGCGCTCTGTGCATGTATATCATCTTCTGCATGTATCGGGCAAAGGTGTCGGCCAAGAAGAGGTTGTTGGGATCTTCCAGCCCGTGCGGTTTGGTCTGGAGGTCGGTTCCGAAGATCTGCAACATTGCACGCGTCAGAAGCAGCCCAGCAGCCTTGTGTACACACTACAGTAGTCGAAGACTGAAGTGGATCAGTGCGCATTGCGTCGGCCTCCGTGGTCGCTTCCACTTGTCCCTCTTGAACTGCCATGCTTCGCGCGTACAGTCGGCATCCTCTAGATGGGTCGCTACGTGGGCCGCGGTGACGCGCAATCCACTTCCGACTGCGCAGGCATGAGAATGGATCATGCAGCACATTATAACTCAAGCCTGCGCGAGCCTCTTGATTCAACGTCGTCCTCGACCTCACCCTTCGGTATCCGGACCATTCGAGCACTGAGATGGCCAGAACAACATTCTTGGACCTTATACGGATGCAATGGCGCACGGTACCACCCGTAGTCCATGCTGACCTATCCGGGAAAACAATGATGGTCATCGGAAGCAGCGGAGGGCTAGGATTGGAAGCTGCGAAACATCTCGCGAAGATGGGTCCGGCGAAGCTCGTTCTTACCGCCAGGGATGAGGCACGAGGAACTGCGTCTGTGCAAGGTACATCAAATCTCGCTGGCCTCGCACTCGCTGATCCCTCCTCAACAGAGCTCAAAAGAGATACTGGCTACGACGCTGAGCTACGGCTCGTGGACCTTGCGAAGCTCTCCTCTGTGAGGGAATTCGTCAACAACTTCAAGGAGGAGGGTGGTCGCCTTGATATTCTGTAGGACTGCCAGGTTACTCCGCAACTGAAGATGGATTTGAGACTGCGTACGCGCCGGAAAGTGTATCGAGAACTATTCGTGACTCACGCAATTCTTGGACGCAGTATAGCTGTCAATTATCTTTCTGCCGTCATCGTCACCTTGTCATTTCTCCCTCTTCTCACCGACACTGCGAACAAATACGGCGTCAGACCGCGAATCGTCCAAGTCGTCAGCGACACGGGATATTGGAATGTCGGGTTTGATGATGAAGTTATGCACAGCGGTAACGTTCTCCGCAAGCTGAGCGAACCGTCGTATTGCAACCCCCGGTAGGTTGACAGCTGTTCCTATACAAGTTGTGACTGATCGCGACACAACACAGAGTATTGCGGGAAAGGTATGCGTTATCCAAAAGTCCGTCAAATGCACTGCGCTTTCGTGGTGTGGTCTAATCATCGGTTCGACAGCATTGAACTCGATGTTTATCAAGGCCCTCAATGAGCACCTGCCGCCGACTTCACCCGTCATCTGTGCGAGCGTTAATCCCGGCTATTGCATCTCAGGGCTTCGTCGCCACCTAAGCAGCGGTGTAGCCGGTTTGATGTTCACAGTGATGGATGCCCTATTGGCCCGAACGACAGAACAAGGATCACGACAGATCGTACGCCCGTTATCCTGTATTTTATGCGCACTGTTGGCTCACATGGCGATCAGGTCTTTGCAGCCGTGGGCCACGCTGATGCTGAGGACTCTTTGAAGGGAGCATACATTTCTCTTGACTATGCGTTCACGGAGGAAAGCGACTATATGTGCAGCGCAGAGGGCGCCAAAGCGCAGAAGAAACTCTGGGTGAGTACGACGACAACCGTCCCTCGAACGATTTCCTATATCTGAACCCTCTAGAACGATACGCTTGACACCGTACGCGAGGTATTCCCAGACCTAGCATCGGTTGTTGCAGATTATTTGACGATTTAGACTGTGCTTTTGCAATACACCATTTCCATGGCAGACGTTTATCTATGACCGCGTTTTGTCACGGTACCGATAAGACTAAATGTGTGGTTGCCGGGATTCGGTCAAGTATGCGGGCCACGCACTCCCATCATAACTGCGCTCGGAATTCTGATTGCGTGAGCCACCTGTTGTTAGCATGTGCGATTCACCGCAAGAATGTGGGTTGCTAGATAGCATCCGGGGGGCAATATACAGCAAACTATACTTACTGGAACCATTTCTAGACGAGTAACGTGTGATCATGAGGAGCGAGCAAAGCACGCTTCAGACAATTGTCTCAGGGCACGTTTGAGAATAGAACCCCGCACGGAGCCGCACTCCTTTTCGCGAAGTCTGAGAGCATTGACATCACTGCCTTCAGGGCGCGCTCGCGCAAATCAGGGTCCGCACCAAAGTGGCATCAACCGTAGTGGGCGGGGAGTGTTGGTGGCCACTGGTTGTACCGGCGACGAGCGAGGGGAGCTGGGTCGCGATACTTGTGCGGGATCTTGTATGGCGGTACATAGATAGATGATCGTGTGCACTGGCAAGCTTTGACATACATATGTGTCTCAACATTTCCTTTTCGGGGTCGACCACCCCGGCGCGTTGCAGCGCGTTGCATTGATGCTCCCACTGCCGCCGTCTTACGCGCTCTTCGCCCGGGGCCGCCTTCCCCTCTCCTCTTCCACGCGATACTGCGCACAACGACTGGGTGCTTCCACCGTCAGCGACGATGGGCAACTCCCTCTCGAGGTCCAACTCGCAGGCATCGTCCTCGTCCGCAGCCAAAGCGCGCTCGCGAGCTATCGACAAGCAGCTCGAGCAAGACGGAAAACAGTTTAAACGAGAATGCAAGATTCTGCTACTTGGTGTGGCATGTTGTGACTCGGATCGCCCGTAGAGGGTTCACGTTCAGCGCTCGTAGGATCCGGCGAGTCGGGAAAGACGACGATCGTCAAGCAGATGAAGATCATACATCAGAACGGGTTCACTCAGGACGAACTGGAGGCATACAAGGTACGACTATTAGTGTTGGATTGAAGTCGTGTGCCTCATCTCGCACAGCCTATCATCTACCGGAACCTCATTGACTCCGCGCAGGCTCTCGTACGAGCTATGGACACCTTCCACATACAATGTACCCATCCTGAAAACACCGTTCGTACTTCTTACCCCATAGTTGTCTCTCTCTCACTGCAAGGTGCCTTAGGCTCACGCGAAGGCGATTGCCGCATATGAACTTCCCGTTCCTGATTCATGTCTCATAGCGATGTAAGGCTGTCTCCCACCATTCCATTGCAAGACTGAGCCCTCCGTCGCAGGCCTGAGCCATTGTCCTCATCATCTCGATCCGCAATGATTCAACTACCTCCTCAAATGGCTCGTGCTATACATCATGTGTGGCAGGTACGGTGTTCGCCGCCGCAGAAGAGGCAGACCACTGATTTGTCGCGTCAGGACCCTGCTATAGAACGCGTGCTCGAGCAACGCTCTCAGTACTACCTCATGGATAACGCGACACAGTATGTTCTCTTCTAAACGTGCCATTATAAAGCTTAACCTACTCTCTAGCTTCCTCAAATCCGCATTACGTATAGGTTCAAGTGATTACGTCCCTGACGAAACTGACGTCTTACGTGCTCGTGCGAAGAGCACGTCCGTCGTGGAGACTCGATTTCACATGGGCGGTGCGACGTACGTTGGTCCATCGATCACGTCGCCACCATCACTCATCTAGTTTCATAAAGAATACACATGTTCGATGTTGGCGGTCAGCGATCAGAACGGAAGAAGTGGATACACTGCTTCGAAAGTGTGACGAGCATCATCTTCTGCGTCGCTCTCAGCGAGTACGACCAAGTGTTACTAGAGGACATGAAACAGGCGAGTGCACTACGATCCTTCTCTCGTCGTCTTTTCCCGTCGTGGTACTAAGGCTCGTGGGCCTCCAGAATCGGCTGGTGGAATCCTTGCAACTTTTCGAATCCATCGTCAACTCTCGCTGGTTCCTTCGGACGTCTATCGTACTCTTCATGAATAAGATTGACGTTTTCAAGAAAAAGTTGCCAAAGGTGCCCCTGAACGTTTATTTTCCCGAGTACAAAGGCGGATCGGACATCAACAAGGCGGCAAAATATATCTACTGGCGATTCATGCAGGTCAACAGGGCGAAGCTGACCGTCTTCCCGCATCTTACTCAAGCGACTGACACGGCGAACGTGCGCATCGTGTTTACCGCCGTTAAGGAGTCCATCTTTAAGAATGCACTCCGTGACTCCGGTATATTATAGGCTGGGTCCTTGGTTCCATATGTTGGTACGCCACACCTTCTTTCCGTCGTTTCTCCGTAACTGAAGCTGTAGCATCTATCAGCTTCATTTATCTACTCTGGGATGCCTGGTCGCTGGTGTGTCAAGTTGGATTACTTTCATCGCTATCCGGGAATGTCCGCCGCTTGGTTTGGTGTTCCATGCACGGACACCCTTCGTTCTCGTTATGTGCTCGGACAACGCGCTGCTGTCGTGCCTCGTCCTTACCGTATATACCGTCAATAATGGACGCACAGAATGTATTATATCAATATATGTTGGGGGTACGTTCATCTGGTGCGGCAAACCTTCTGGGATTGACCTAGATTGCCATGCGGGTGGTGCGTATACTTTTATCCTCCCCGTGGAACGGCTCTCAGTGATTATGAATGAAGAACGAGACAATGTCCAATTATCGCCAAAGACGATTGCATATGTGCCAACTATAGACGCTTGCTCATGAACCTGAATGGTACCACGCGTTCGTGACCAGTTGCGTGTGATCCCGAAGCCGGCTGCGTGGAGATACCAAAAGTTTATGCAGTTCCGACATTCATGGACGTTTAGCCCGAACCGTGCTCCGAGTATGAACGAACATCTGCTGACTGGCCGCGGGTACTATAGATAGCGCTTTCTGTATGGCGACGAAGAAGCGATGATCCACAGCAACTTTCGTTGTCCGCTTCTCTGGACTAAACATAGGATCACTTTCCCCAACGTCTCTGCCATTGATCCATCGATCTATTTATGGTTGCTGCCCGTGAAGTGGTGGAGACGCGGTATGTTGCGTTGAGCAGCTCTACGCATCGATGCGCGAAGCGGGTTGAGGCAGACCTCGGGCGCGGAGCAGGAGGAATCGCGGGGGCCAATGGCGACGTGTCCTGTGCGCCCAAATCAAAAGGGGGCGCGCAGGGCGAGCTGTGCCGTAGAATGGCTGGAGAAGGCAAAGGCTGTCGTTATTATTAGAGCAAATCGGTGCCAGACCATCTGAGGTAAGATATTGGACAGGTCGGATATATAAACTACGTCGCACGGCCATTCGTGGGGCGCTGCCCCCCAACGACCGCCAGCCAGACAGCATTGCGATCGTACGGACGAGGAAGATGGGGAGAAAGAAGATTGAGATACAGCCGATCCCAGTTGCGTCATCAACGCGTTTCTTCTCCAGCCACCTTTACCTTCGTCCTCTTGTAGAACGAGCGCAATCGTGCTATCACATTCGTCAAGGTTGGGTTCTCCAACAACCCTATATCTTGATGTTAACTCGGGCATCAGCGCAAATCGGGTCTACTGAAGAAGGCATATGAGTTAGGCGTGCTTTGTTCGGTGGAGATTGCAGTCATCATATTTGGTACTATCATAGGTCACCTCACCTTGCGTACACAATGCTGACGGGATCTTTCAGAAAATCGACCCGGCCATGGTACAAGACTCTTTCAGTATTGTTCCGATGACATCGACACGTTAACGCAACGGCGATTGGCTGTGAGTGTCATGGTGCGACACACCCTAGCACAGTTCACACTCAAAGGCTCTAGTTCCGTGGAGAAGCGGACCTTAAGACACCGGCAGACTTCAACGGCGGTCAACATGACGCGGGCGCAAGCGAGGAGGATAAAGACGACGTACAGAACGGAAACCTAGGGCATGCAAGATTGCGCAGAATCTCGGATCACGCTGGTGTTCCGGTATGTGAAGGTGTCTTTCTAGCAACACTGTCTCCCCGTCTGGCGCTGTTCCTGAATCGTTCACAGGGTCAACCAGGTGATAGTGTCCGGCACGCCTCCTCTTCCTTTGCTGCTCCTCGTCAAGCTTCACCCTCACCGAAGCGTCGCCGTCCAAATGATCCATATCCACCGCGGAGGGAATATCATCACCCTACCAATGTCTCTGCTGGATTGGCATTCGGCTCACGGCCCGCGCATGCCATGCATCATCCACCACATCCTTATGCATACGCGCCTCCCTCAAGCTCCGGCAGCGTATCAGACTCAACAGGGTTACGGCCGCGTGGTGCTTCCGGGCTGCCGCTTGTATCATCAGGGGACCAGCGTCACCGCGCATCGTCTGCTCGCTATCAATCTCCGAGGTCGCCTTCGCGCACTAACAACAGTTCGAGTACCGGCGCGTTATTCGAACCGGATACATTCCCCGAATCGATGAAGCAGGCTCGTACGTTTTTTCAGAGATTCCTTGGTGGTCATTGGACTGATATCGCTGATGTCGGCAGAGCGGAGTTCACCACTTGCCGCCAGTGGAAGTGGCCGTCGTCAGAGTTGGCTCGAGGTGATCTGTGCCGAGCCCAAAACCTCCGATGGAGATGTAGCGATGTCGAGCACACGCACTGAAGGAGGAACATCATCCCCAGAACCTTCGAACTTGTTGCGTGAACATCGCGCGGAGGCCCAAAACGGGTGACAAAGGTTGTTTGCGGCTTACGGGCCCGGGCATGTCACAATAGCCATTCCCGTCGTGTTCATAGTACCGTTTATCAAATAATAGCTTACATGTACGTTGGGGATCGGCACTTATCCAGTTTGGCTAAAGCTTGAAGCTTGGGCACCGCTCGCAGTTACGATACTTCCAAGCAACGAATCCGGACCGACTCGGCCTCCACAGCACGTGCTCCAGTCATCAATATCGTTGTCGAATGACCGCTGGTGACCCTCAACAGGGTACTACCTCGACTGACGACAACGCACTCGGCTCGGCAGCCCCTGTAAGCGATATGCCTTCATGCTACATCTCTCCAAGGCGCGATCAAGGACTGCCAAAGGAAGCCGGGCCGTACTGAATCCTAGCTTCTGTCGGTACTCCTTTCGCAGGCATATGGCAACATTGCACCTATCAGATCCTTGTTGGTCAAGTGCAGCCGGCTCCGGCGTCCATCGCAGCCAATCCCGTGCTCAGTGGGACGGAGTGTCGCACTCTACAACTCTCGGATCATACATCGATGGCAGTACCTAGGCTGATGATGCTTCAACGGCGCATCCAAGTCCAAGGATTGCGAAAAGGACGCTGTATTGCTGGCATCTCAATTTCACCCGGGTGTCGAACGTGGCATTGTTGTTTCGTAAAGTATCACGTCCGTCCTCAAGTTCGGTCATACAGCACGGTGCCGCGCGAGCTGTCCTCGCCACCGATGGCTTCGCATGGCAAGTGAAACTTTCCAGCACGGCCCGATATGCAGAAAAGTCAAGGCTTTCTCCCTTCTTATGGTGGACATATCGTATAAATTACCGTTCCTACTATCCAGCCCACCTCCATACCGAACGGTTCTGATCCTCAACATGATCGCGACGCTGGCACCCTACCTGTTGGCCTTGCCTCTTGTGGCTGCGACCCCATCTCCCAAATCATTGTCTAGCTCGTTTTCACTTCTATACCAAAACGATTTGAACTGTTGAGTATACCGTTGGGATCAGAACTTAGCGTTTGCTCACTCTAGACCAGGGACTAGCGCCACCGAACACGCAGGTGCCATTCTTCTCGAACCACGTAGTGGTCAAGCCGCTGTCCAGTCTTGTGCTGCTCTGAGCGAATCTCTGCTCTCTGCAAACGGGCTTCATTTCTTTTCAGATATAGCATCACTTCTGGCGTACCTTTCATTTCAAGGACGATACCCGGCTGAGCAAGAATATTGGATCGCGCCCGCGTCCGCCAACACGTGTACAACGATTACGGGAGGTGCCAAAGTGAAGAACTCCTCATGTCAGAGAGTGTTGCCCGTCTTGTGCTCTCAAAGCGCACCGTATCGCGTTGCCAGTCTACAAGTAAGCTCCATATCGTGCATTCACGCATAGGTGCTCATTTCACAAGGATCAAGATCCTCGATGGAGATTATCAGTTGGCGCGGAAGATCTGACGGTCACAGGGTACGTGCACTACTTGTCTGCTATGAGCGCGCGAGCTGACAGTTTGTCAGATATCGGGATCATTTGTCTTTCCGGTTTCTTGGAATTCCATATGCAAATACCCCCAAGCGATTCACCTATTCCACCTTGTATAACGGCACTCAGAAGTCTCTCAACGCTACAGACTACGGATCTCGATGCGTTCAAATCGGAACCCCCGGCAGTGAGGATTGCCTCTTTCTCAATATTTTTACTCCATTCATACCCGGACCGGAGACGGGTGCTGCTTCCTTGAAGCCTGTCATGTTTTTCATACACGGTGGAGCGTTTGTCGGTGGTAGCGGGAACGACGCCATATATGACGGCGGTAATCTGGCTTCCAGAGGAGACGTCGTTGTCGTGAACATCAATTATCGTCTGTCATCCCTCGGGTTCCTGGCTCTCTCTGATGGTGTCACCAACGGCAACTTCGGTATCGGCGATATAACTGTTGCCCTCTCTTGGGTCCAAAAGTACATATCCGCGTTTGGAGGCGATCCAACTCGTATCACCATCGTCGGTCAGTCATCCGGGGCCGCTGCGACCCGAGCTCTGCTGGCTAGTCCGAAGGCGATCAACAAATTCTCTGCTGCTATTCCCATGAGCAACCTGGCTGGGGAGAACTATGCCACCAGCTACTCGGTCTACTACACCATCGCGGAGCTGCAACCCATAGTTATTGATCCGTTATTGGTTGCAACCGGGTGTAACATGACGGACTCCGCCGCGGTGCTGTCTTGCCTTCGCTCTGTTGATCCCAACACACTGGTCGACTTACCCACCGCTGCGTCGTGCGTATCCCATCTATTCGTGCCATATCCCCACCAGATGTTTACACCCATATTGCCAGATTTATTGTTGTCGACGGTACATACGTCACGTCCAAGCAGCTTCCGGTAGACGGCTCTAGTCCTGTCGCATATGTGCCTATTGTCACGGGGATCATGCGTGATGACGGCTCAGCCTTTACTGGCTATCCTCGAACCGCAAACGTCACGCGTGAAATCGCTGCTGTTCTGTATGTGGCAGTCTCAACGAACGGATATAGATACTGAAATATGAGATAGGTCGAGTCCTTCTGCGCCGGAGGTTCAATCGTCTGGACTCTTCCCTGTCCCATCCGGAGCAAACGCAACGCTCGATATCTTCAACGTCACCGCTCGTCTAAGCACGGACATCGGATTTCGTTGTCTGGATCAAGCCCATGCTATTTCGGCTTCGGATCATAACGTCTTTCCAAATATATGGTTCTATCAGTTCGATCGGTCTTACCAAACACCTGCATTCAACCCGAATCCCCCAGTATGTGATGCCCCGATCACATCAACCCACCCCCACGGCGACCCATCTCAGGAATACTTTAAGTATGTCCCTGAGATTGTGCATCCAATCTACTCATCGCTCATGCACTCTCGACTCAGGTGCCATACGGGCGAGCTTCACTTTGTTTGGGGAACGCTGGGCCAATACCAACTTCCTTTCCGCGATGCAAACGATCTGTCATTTTCGCAGCTCGTCGCCGATAGCTGGACCGCCTTCGCGCACAACCACGACCCTAACCCCTTATCTGCATACTTGAGCGTGCGCGGGTATATGAACACGCTTGATGTCGTGGAGAATACTGATAGGTGGGAGCCTCTCACGAAACGGCATGACAGAGCTTTAAGGATAATGAATTTGCCGCCACGGATGACTACCTTCCAAGAAGAGTCTCAATGCAAGTTCCTCGGGTTACCGTCTGACTACTATGATTAGAACTGTCATGTAATCGTACTGTTTCATGGACACGAGTTTGTGCTGATCTAACGGACGCGCTGCGTTGTGGAGTCGTAGTTATGCAGTTGTCAGTTCTTTTGGCTACTCATGTCTGGATCCTGTTATCCTGGCAACGGCGGAGTAACACGAGGGTACCAGGATAAGTACCTGAGACTTCGTTCGAACCCAGGGTGGGCCTTGGCCTCGAGCTAGCCGTAGTGACGCGCACTCCCTCAGTCAACATCTGTGGTAGGTAGGTATATTACCGGCGAGGTCCGCATAGTGGAACAACCCGTTGCCTTGTCGCACGTACGATGGGCGTGCGGTCACAGCACAAACGGTAGGGATCACAACTTCACAAGATTCACACGAAAGACCGTGCTCGCCGCGGCTCATTGGTGACGCAAGTTGCAGCAGCTCGTCAGAAGTTTACGGTCCGAGAGGAGGCTCTAGAACGGGAGTGGGGCATGGAGGACGCTCGTCCAACGAAGTGACTGGAGCCGACGAAGCAACATCTCACGGTCAGAAAAGGCCGATACATTGCGATACGTACACACCAGCTTGTCCACTCATAGGCGCCTCGCCCACTGTCGTTCTCAGCATTCTCGTGCATTAGCATTAGCTGTGCCTATGGAGTAATTTTACATCATGCACCCGCGCCTGCGATCCGACACAGTTCCAGCCGGCGCGCACGCACATCTTCACGCCCATCATCGTTCATTCGCCAACCGGACACAGCTACCAGACGCGCAGCGCTGGGCTCGGACGGCGGTGAAGAAGGATCACAGAGTGATGAAGGCAGAGCAGACGCCTCGCATTCCTGCGCATCGTCCAGCGTTTATCCGATCATGTCGCTGAGAGCCGCCATCTCGGGGCTGTCGGATTCACGGATGCCAATCTCCCAGTCTGGAGATCGATCGAGGTGAGTGACGGGGGATGCAAGTAACGCGATTCAGCACTCACAGCTGTAGATGATCGTGACTGCCATGAGGATACCGGTGCCGCTACCAATCGCGCCCATGAGATCGGCGGCGACGGACAGCAGGCCAAGGACGGCACCGCCCCATGCGGCGGCCGTGGGAATAACGCGCTTCAGTTCCTTGTACATAGAGCCCTCACGGTGTCCAGCCATCACCTGCATACCCGTCAGTGAACGTTGCTCGAACCATGTAACACCGGCATACCATTTGCTGATCCTTGAGCTGCTTGGCAACGTCTCGTGGACCGGAGCCAGAAACCTCAATCCAGGTCTTGGAGAACATCGCGCATGCTGACACGATGAATGCGATGTAGATGGCAGTATGAATGGGATCAAGGATAGCGGCCTGGCACAAGCTCATTTTCGGACGGGTCCGTGCTGTAATGAAACTCGCGTACCTTCATAGTATGGGGCGGCGATATGTAGTACGCGATACCACCAGTAGCCTCAAGCTGGGGGGAGTCCTCCATGGGCTGAAAACAGAAAACAGGGTGTGAGTGGGACTAATGAGTGAAGACATGATTGCTGACCTCCCAAACACCGAGGAGCTTGACCAGGATGTTATCCGGGAAACGGGTGGCTAGCATCTGGCTGATGATGAAAACGTTGGAGGTCAATGCAGACTGGAGCATGATGGGCATGTTGGAGGTGTAGAACAGTTTGATCGGGTAGGTACCGCGCATGCCGCTGATGTTTCGTACACTCGTCAGCACCGGTAGGAGCGCTAGACGAAGATAACATACCGAGCGCGGTTGCTCTTAACGGGGATCTCAATGCGGAAGCCCTGGAGGTAGATGACAACAGCGAAGACGATGATTGTAGCGAAGATGTTCATGAGGTTGGGCAGTCTCTCGCGCCAGAATGCTTCGCGAAGGGCACGACCCTTGTCGTTCCAGGTGAACAAGAGGTGGAAGAGGGCAACCACAGCACCCTCGAACTCGGGACCACGGCCGGTGTTCACGGTGGTGGGCGAGAACGCCTTCCAGACGATAGACTCGCAGATGTTGGTGGCAATGAAGAGGGAGATACCGGATCCGAGACCGTATCCCTTTTGCAGGAGCTCATCGAGAAGTATGACAATTAAGGCAGCCGTGACGAGTTGGAGGATGAGCAGAAGGACGATGCCAGCACCCAACGACGAGGGCGTGCCGTACAGACCCGTGAGGACGTAGACCGTAGCCTGACCGAAGGAGATAATGAGAGCAAAGACTGTGGGACATGTCAATGGACAAACGCGTCCGAATAGACCACGACACGTACGCTTCTGCGCTCCACTGAATAGAGCACGGTCCTCCTTGAGCGAAAAGTCGACCTCTATGAGGTTCGCGCCGGCGAGCAGTTGCATGATCATTCCACTAGTAAGGATAGGAGATATTCCGAGCTCCATCAAGGTTCCACGGTTGGAGGCGAGGATGGCACGCATCCAGAAAAGCGGGTCGGACGAGTCGGACGACATGATTCCGTACAGGGGCACTTGGGAGCAAACCAAGAAGATGAGAAGGGTGACGGCGGTCCATAGTATCTTCTGCCTGAAGGGAACCTGGATGGACGTTTAGCGCGTCGCAAACGCGAGTTTGACGGAATGTGTCATACCTTGCGATCCGGCGAAGCAATTTCTGGGAGGATGGGCAGGAACGGCCGGACGAGGTTCAAGAACCGAACTGAAATTCGTCGTTAGTAAAGGCCAATAAGGTGCATACGCGTAGGAGGACATACAGCCGCTCATGACTGCAGCGGACGAAGGAGCGGATGGGGTGAATGCGAAACGAGAAAGAGTGCCAGCAAACAAGTCACTCGCGTCGACGTGGCAATCAATTCCTGTAAGATCGTGGGAATATACGCCAGGGGCGTGAACCCGCGTAAGCCCTGACCTAGGGTCTTGATCAAGGATAGTTCGTAGGAGTGACAATGTACGTAGCAGACAGGGCCCCTCAAACAAGCTGGAAATGCAGCCAACCGGACTGTTGTGGTGTAGATATTGCAAACACACCAAAAAAATCTCGCTTGTCCTACCAGAGTCTCTATTGATCTTGGGGGGTGGGCGCCATACCAGTGCGCATGCAGTCCGTTTGGGCGCAAAACTCTAAACGCTCTTTCCTCCGCCCCGTCGCATCCGGCCACTCCCCGCTTCGCTCCGCAGGCAACAACCGCGTGTGCCTCATACAGGCCTTTCCAAGCTAACCGACGAAGGTGATTCTGGCACAAGCTTAAGGAAGATGGGGCGTAGAAAGATCGAGATTCAACCCATTACGGTGAGCACGAAGCCGCCCTGTTTTCTTCGTCAAACCGTAGACCAAATGTATTCCGTTTTCGCGCTGTTGTCCTCTTGCATCTTGGAGCAATATAAAGCGATGAAAAACGTGCTAATGAGTTATGGCGATCCTCCGACAGCATGAACGCAATCGTTCCGTGACGTTTATCAAGGTGAGCCAGTGGCCTACCCTCTTCCTCTATCCCCGCTTCCCGTCCCCTCCGCCTTCCTTGGACCGTCGGACGCGGTTGAGCTCATGGTCACGATGTCGTAAAAAGCCATGCTGGTCCAAAATAACCTGCCCTGACATATTGCCCTATTTTTGTCCCAATTCCTGGCTTGGCACGACCCGTGTGCTTATTATAACTCATCATCATCCGAACAGCGCAAGAACGGCCTGTTCAAAAAAGCATACGAGCTCGGTGTGTTGTGCTCTGTCGATGTCGCCGTCATCGTCTTCGGTGAGCGCGTACGGCAGACATCCACGCAGCCGATGTCGCTGATGACGTGGTCCTTCATACAGAAGATCGCCCTGGACATGGGCTCCGATTGTACCAGTACTGCTCGGGAGACATACAAGACGTGGTTAGGCGCCAGATCCATGTGCGTGGGCACTAGTGCCGAGCTCCAGTTGCACACTGACGATGATCCTCCGTACCAGTTCGAAGGCGAGAGGGATTTAAAGACCCCCGCCGACTTCAACGGTGCAAGAGGTGATGATATGGGCGATGACGACGATGGCGAGGGCGACGATGACGAGGGAACCCCCAAGCCATCCTCACAGAAACGCAAGGAGCCCGCTATCAAAACGAAGCCGTCCAAGTCAAGCGCAGCGTCCGGGAAGAAATCGACACCCGTCTCGATCGAGGCAAGTTCCCGTCCTATGCCGAGCATTCAGGGTCGCTAATCTCTTACTCTCGCAGGGTGACTATAATAAACCATCATCAACTCTGCCTGTGTCAGGCGAGCGTGGGATGCCCGCAGCGAAGCGTCCGCGGATCGACAGCACCAACTTGGGGCCAACGTTATCACCTCCAACGTTGCATCAGCCTCTCCAAAGGTCGTACATTCACCCCCCGCCGCCGCCCCCGTACGGTCAAGGCTACGCCGATGTCAATGATCCTTACTCGCACTCGCAGCCACAGAGCTATAGTTACTCGTACCCGCCCGGCAGGTCCGGCATGGACGACGGCTACTCTAACAGCGCGGCCTACCCCCCGTACCCGCCGCGCATGCCTGCGCAACCGCATCAGCATCAGCCGGTGCACGTGTATAGTCAGACCATCAACTCGTCTTCGTCGGGTGACGCAGCCTTCGAATGGCCTGTGCACGGAAGTGGACCTCCCCCTCCCCCACCACCCGTGCAGACTTACCAAACGCAGCAGCATCACTCTCAACACAGCACGTATCTTCCTTCCTATGCAACCGCATTGTGCTCATCGTCTTGATATAGGTGCGTCATCATCGGGCCATGCGCCTAACTGGTTGGACTTCCTCTCGGGTGCGGCAGCGGCAGCCAACCCTCTCCTCCCGCCCCCGCCTCCGCCTCCACCGGCCCCAGCCGTTCCGCTTTCTCCCCAGTCCACTGCGATGCCGCTTGCGATCGCCAGCCGACGCAAACGCGAAGGTGCTGGCTTGGGCGTGTCATGGGAGCGGGAAAGCAAGGAGAGGGAAGCTCCGGTCAAGCCTATAACCGCCGAACTGGCGGATGCCGGAATATCGGATAAGACGACGAACGCAGCCGACGAGGATTCGGCTCATCGCTCGCCAAGTGAGCCTGCGAAAGTCGAGAGCGGTCAGCCGAACGAGACCTCCGCGAAAGATCCGGAGGAGGGGCAAGCAGCGGCTGAGGCGCGAACTCGCAAGGATGGTTCGTCGGACTCGGAAGGAGACCTCACCGCCGCGGATTCGTCCAGTGCTGAGGCCAGCTCCGGTGCCAGTGGCGGAAGTTAGATTGAGTGAGGTTGGTTTGTGACTACGGTAGTTCGGGTTGCAGATTGCTCCGTAGTAGTGTTGTTAGTTTCACAGGAATAAAACGTTTCTTGACCTAATCCCTGAGAACACGTGATGCACGGGAAAGCGTCATTATGACCCGGACCGCGTTGATCGCCGCGTCGCGTCTGCCGCCCACCGCCCTTCATCTCGTCTTTGTTCATTCAGTACTCGACGGCCACTATTGCACGGCCTACATCCACAACGCGTTGGATTGCGTTCACATCAAGGAGACATGTCTAAGTCCGGAGATGTCTTCACTGGCGTCAAGTACTACGTAGTGCCGTCCATCCCGTCCGAGATCGCAAATGAATACCGAAAGACCCTAAGTCCGCCCATTCCGTGCTTAATGTCTCGATTCTTGTGAATAATTTACTTTCCAGATGCAAATGGCGCAACATCCGTACCTCTCCAGTCCGCCACACATATTATCACCGATACCAACCTCTTCGAGGGCTTTAGTGAAGTGGAGGATAAGGACGGTGTCTATTCCGTCACGGTGAGGAATTAATAATTCGTTCGCCGACAAATCATCTGATCTTCCCGCGTGTAGCCTTACTGGGTGGATAGATCGATGGTCTTGAGCAAGGCCGCGCCGTACGACCCCTTACCACAATGCCGAGACCACTTGTTTCCAAGCTGACTTCCCTTTATCAGCCCAGAACTATATTCTCCCGACCCAAACTTGTTCTTCTCCGGTGTAATAGCATGTGCGCATGACATACCCCAGGACGATGTATGCAGCATTCTCTGTACAACTCCCTTTGACTCACCGTTTGAACTTTCAGAGCGAGATCCTTGCTGGTGGAATCGGAGCTCTTGGCGGGCACTGGCGCAATGGATACGCTAGGGACGTGACACATGTCTTCTCTACCGGACCGCTGTATGACGAAACAGACGAAGACCTAGACGAGGACGTCAGTATCATCCCCGTGCATGCCATTCTCTCGCTGAATCATTCTTCTTGCATACCTTGTTCTCGCATTGTACCCTCAATCGGTAATACTGCGGGTTGTGTGCTACGAATCAGGCAGCACGGGACGTGTATCGAGCTGCGATGCAGTTCAAGGAGGTCACCGGCGTGAAGATCGTTACGCCCCATTGGTTCGACGACTGCATGAAGCTTGGCATTCGTGTCAGCGAGAAAGAGGTGAATATCAATGTGACTCCCGACCCCCCAATCTCTCCCATAATCGCGTCGTTGCTAACCAACCTATCGATCAGTACGAATGGCCCAACCCAGCTGTGTTACGACCGAGATCGCTTGTGCACCCGCCACACATTTCTCGAGCGGGCACGACAGTGGGCGACGCCGCCGAAGTCAACACCACGGCCCCGACGGCAGGCAGGGAGGATCGACCAACATTCGCCGGCACCTCACGGCAGAGGGCTTACTTTCTAAGCGTGAAGGAGGGCGAAAAGGGCATCGCAGTACCTCAGGAGGTCGGGATTGATCAGTTGTGAGCGCTGACGGCGAGATTTAACGATTTTCTGTAGCGCCATATTACCAACGTATGGCAGAATCGACGAATTTTACTCTCGCTGACCCTGGGACTACACGGGGAGCGTCGGTGAGCTTTCCTCCGGTAAGTATGATGTGCGATATCCTCATTCCGAAGTGCAGCGAAGGGATAGAGGCAGAGATTACGCGGTCTGGCGGACGAATTGTGACTTATGGTTTGGCCGGCGGAGATGGCTGTCGGGCTGAGGAGGTGGGTCAGATGTGCACTGTGGCCTTTCGGTCTAAGACATGTGGCGCCTAGATCGACCTCGTGGACGAGTGCGACGTGTACATCACCAGGATACGAAGCGGGCGCGCGTACGTTAAGGTGATTCCGGTCGTTTCGATTTCTTAATAAGGGATGTTCATGTATGCTCGGTTAACACAGGCCATGGAGAATCACAAGACCGTCGGCAACCTAAATTGGGTTTTCGCCGTCAGTTCGTCTGGCACCTTCACGGCGCCCACTCAGACACTGCTGCATTTCCCTGTCCCGCGAGTAAAGATCGAGGGCTTCGAGAGGCAGGTGAGTATGCATGGCTGTCGCCGTGAACGGCCAGAAGACAGCACTGATCAGTGAGCAGATCGTCACCATCACAAATTATACTGGCCCGGCTAGAGAATACCTCAAAAAGCTCGTAGAGCTGATGGGCGGAACATTCACTCCGAGCATGTCTACCAAGAATACCGCCGTCATCGCTGCTTTGTACGCCTTCCAAACCCTGTTACGTTGTTACATCCTGACGGAGCGATCAGTTTGAGCGGCGCCAAAGTCGAGAAGGCCAAGGCATGGGGTTTGACCGTGATCAACCACCAATGGCTAGAGGATTGTTTTATACAATGGAAGCTACTCAGCCAAGCGTATGTGGAACCTGTCTGCCCGTGCCACCATCATCTTGATCATTCTCGTCCAGTAACCTGAAATACACCTGCTTTCCGGAAGGAGTCGATTTCGCGGAGCACCTTGGGCTGCGTGGCGTTGGACGTGCCGTTCTTGATGATCGCATGATCGGCGCCGAAGATGACACTGATGAAGAACTGGCGGCCATGCTTCAGGAAAGAGAGGACCTGGAAAGAGCGGAGTCTGGCATTGCGCCACCGTCAACAGAGCCCCTCGGGGCGCATGAAGCAGGCGTCAAGATGACCGGCACGGATGTCAGTATGCAAGACGTGCAGGAAGTAGAAGCTGCCATATCGCTCGAGGTGGAGGACGGCGACGGCTTGATGGTTGTCGACGAGCAACCTCTGGAGGAGTTGCCACTCAATGGACGTAAGGCCCCAGACAATGAGGTCTCCAGCAGCACAAAACCGCGATCATCGCGCAGCAGGACGCGACAAATTGCAGACGCGGTAGAGATACCGACCAAGAAGCCCATGAACCGAGGTCAAGGGGCAAAACGCGCAGAGAAGGGCAAGGGGAAGCGTGTCCTGACCCCTGAATCTGAAGACAATGCTCAAGATGGGACTTCGATGCCGACGAAGCTCTCTCGAAGCGAACATATGGCGAGCAAGGAGAACATTATTGACCTTGATTCCGATCACGATGTACCACCTGCACCTGTACCTCCGGTAACACCGTCGCGCAAGCCGAGGCCCCGCCCTGTTCGCGCCCGTCTGACTTCAAAAGAACCGTATATTCCTCCACGACCCTCACAGCCATCACAACGGTCGATTCCAGCACCTCCATTCAACCCACCTTCGCCATCCGGAGTCCGTAATCTGACCAGAACACCGAGTCGAATGTCACACGTGGAATTGCCGCCAGTGGCGCACAATGTGCCACAAAAGCTGCAAGCCGCGTCCTCGATCCACGTCGTTGCTGATGAAGCGCCTGCGTCTTCCATCACGCGTGGCCGGCCAACTAAGAAGGGTGCAAAGAGCGATGCTGAACGGCCGAAATCCCGCACGTCCATAGCGCAAGTGTCGGTGCGGGACACAAGTGTCTCGACAACCGAGCTGGAGGATGTGCCATCGGCGAGGGTATACTCTAAACGCAGCGCTGCTATAGCCGCGGCTCAGAAGACAGGCCAGATGATGCTGGACAAAAACAAGTTTGAGAAAGAGAAACGGGGACGGCTAGGAAAGGGTGACTGGGAAGACTCTGATCGACGGTCAAGCACGGGTACCAAGAAGCGGGCTCCCACCGACACTGAGGCCACGGACGCAGCTTCGGACGGGGAGACAACGTCGAAGAAGAAGAGGCGAATAAGTACCGAGAGCAAGGACACTCGAAAAGCTCGCGCTACGCAGGCGGCGGCGGATGAGAAAGAAAGTGAGGACGAGCCCTCTATCAAGGTGGTTAAGGCTACCAAGCCCGGACCCGTCTCGCGGACTACCAGCAGTGGTGCGATAGACGGGGCGCCGACATCAAACGGAGGCCGCAGGTGAGTGATCTGAATGTTCTCTGAGGCCCCTCGTGTACCAAATCCACTGCGTAGGTCCAAGACGAAACCTGAATCCGTCAGACTACTCACTACTCAGTTGACCTTGCCGGAGTATGTGATAAGGGTACGTCTTGACGATCCTCGGTGCAAGATAGCAGCATACCAATCGATTACAGAACTTGAAGAAGTTGGGCGTCATTGTTGTCGCAAGTCCCCGGCAAGCCACGCATCTAATCATGAAGCGGATCACCCGGACGGAAAAGTTCTTGTGCGCATTACCCTACGTGGACTATATAGTCTCGGAACAGTGGGCGATAGAGTCCGCTAAGGCGAGGTATCTGCTACGTATGTTTCGCACCCTCGGTCCACTAGCCAAGAGATTTAGCTCAACCCGCCTTTTGCAGTCGAGGAAGATTACCCCGTCGTTGACAAAGAGGGTGAACGGAAATATGGCTTTGAGCTATCGATGTCCCTTGCGAATGCAAAGAGAAATGGTGGCAACCTCTTCGAGGGGCACGTATTCTACATCACGCCGAAGCTCAAGTCTCCCGATCCTGAGCTGGTGAGGAATGTCATTCAAGCCAACGGGGGCACGGTAAGACCTTTTTATATCTTTTTTGTATCCCTTGTGCTTACGCCCATGCAGGTTGCTGCCAAAGGCTCGAATCCTAGTATCCGTAACCTGAAAGGTCATCGCGAGCGCCATGTGATATCATGTCCCGAAGATGCTGCCATATGGATGCCTCTTGCCAAGCAACATTACGCCATCTACAACCCGGAGTTTGTCTTCTCTGCAGCGATGAAGCAGCAGGCGATTTGGGCCGATGAGGCTGACCGCGTCGAGGGTTCATTGATGTAAACTGGATTTATTGCCTCCATCTTTCTCGATTCGGAATCCACATCCTGTATATATATCATCCTTGCTTTCTCTTTCACGAGCTTTTACTAGTTCGGTTCGGTACGTCCTCGGGGGGCTGCGTGACGTGCGAATGTCCTAACCGTCAATATCTGCGCAACGGCGACCGTGGGCCCCCGGATGCAGTTGAACTTTCGAGCAGTAACATCCAGACATCCGATTCGGGCTGCGTGCTGCACGCAGCGGATCCACCATTCCCAGGTTTCTTTGCAGTTCAACAGATGACAAGCCAAGCGAGGATTGGGTGGGCGGACTGCAGTAATGTGAGAGATCGCGGCAGCGAAAAGGCCGAAGTCTGTCAGTGACTTTTGACACACCAGGGGAAACTTCAATCGACCACTGATGAGTTAACGACAGGTCTGTTTACGTGATCTGTCATGGTCTGACTATTGACCAGATTGAAATTGGTGGTCAAGTATTATGGACCTGGTCACCGGGTATATCACGGCATCTTAAGAAGGTCATCGTCATCCATGGTCTCATGCGTGGCAGCCTTTTGTGCTTGGTTACGTGTTCTTGCTGTATAAGCGCAGATACGTAACAACCCACGGACGACTTCTCATCGGAATGGGGTCATGGGCTATGCCTCCAAATTATTCTTCTGCACTTAAGCCACCGTACCTCCCCGGGTTATTTCATGCTCTCAACCGCATCGGCCCTTGCTTTGCATTGTGCATACCTAGGCCTGGTTCCCGTCGTACATCAGTATCAACTCTACTGCTCGTTCATGCGCCAAAACGATGTAGTCGATCCTGGGTCGTGGGATTGTGCCAACGTCGGTTCACTGCCCTAACTTACTAATGACATCGGCCCCCCGACGTCATTCGCCCTCAATTGCCGATGCACTTCGTAGTTTGACTGCGTTAGACTTCGCATCGACATATTCGAACGACGTCGGCGGTTGAACTTCAAGCCTTTACGGGGTTATATACGATGCACCCACATGTGGGTATGAACCTACGAGAACATAGGATCGCCTGCATATAAAGAGGTCCACCTCTGCTCTACCAGCGAATAATCCCGCACTCTTACCCTCGCGCAAACCCAACAACACATCGACATGGCCCAAGGCAGCGACAAATCCGGCATCACCATCGCCATCGTGGGGGGTGGACTCGGTGGCGTCTGTGCTGCCGTCGGACTAGGTCGTGCAGGTTATTCGGTACACCTGTTTGAGCAGGCAGAAAAGTCAGTGCCAGCCCTCCCTATGTATGCCGGATCGTGAATAACAAAGACGCAAGATTTTCAGAGATAGGCGCAGGAATCAGTCTTGGCCCAAATGCCATCACTGCGCTCGAGATGCTCGGCTTGGGCGACACGTACGAGAAAATAGCCGACATCACCGACGACGTGGATCCGCTATGGTTTCAGTTTGTAGAACATCGTGACGGCTCTATGATCCAAGAGGTTAATATTTTCGCGGTAGATCGGCTGTATGCCAAGAGAACTCATTGGGTTTGCGCTCTAGGTATTCAGCAAAGGTCGTTACTCTTCCGTTCATCGGTAAGGACTAGATGAATGTACCCAACATTTGCTCACATTCAAGATGCAGCGCGAAACTGTTGGACGGTTTCATGAAACATCTTCCTTCCAATGTGAAAACGCATTTTGGCAGCCATATCACTCACGTCGAAAATGTGCTCGGAGCTGACGGAAAACCAGCTCGTGTTCGCTTGAGCATCGAACCTCATGGAGAACACCACCCAGATTGGCCCCAGCCGGATCACGTATTCGAAGCTTCGGTCGTCATTGGGTGTGACGGTGTCAAGAGTATGGTACGAATGTGGTACACATGAACGTTTGGAACTTGGTTAATTAAGACTCTCAGGTCCGCAAAAGCATCGAGGAGTACACAGGAGGGCGTGTTCGCTATACCGGATCATACGCGTATCGCGGCTTGCTCGATACCAAAGAAGCTGTCGCGCAGATCGGTGAAGGAGCGACAGTGCCTACGATGTGGCTGGCTCTAGACAAGGTACGTGCAGGCCGTTTGACAGTCAACCCCGTTGCTCAACATGTTTGGTTTATAGCATATCTTGTCTTTCCCGATTGAGAAAGGAAATGTCATCAATGTAGTGGCATTCGTGTCCGATCGCTCGAGTCCTCCCGACGAGCGTGTATGGAAAGAGTCGCGTTGGGTCAAGCCTGTCCCTGTCGATCAAATGCTCGGGGACTTTGAGGGCTTCGAAGACAAGGTCATCAAGCTTATGAAGGTATAATGATTGTTCATCGTCCATATCGGTATCTCTGAAAGGAGGATGTTCCATAGCTGATCAAGAAGCCGGAACAATGGGCTCTTCATGAACTTGTCCCGCTGAAGCAGTGGACTGTTGACAGGATCACTCTTCTCGGAGACGCGGTGAGTAACCCTCGTGCACGTTCCCCGTCATGCGCTCAATATCAAGCACCAGGCCCACGCCGCGCTGCCCAACAATGGTGCTGGGGCAGGTCAAGCGATTGAAGACGTTTACGTGCTGGCTTCCCTGCTGTCCGATCCTCGCTGCACGGAGACGACGCTGCCCGAGTTCCTGCTCGCGTACGAGAACGTGCGGAGGGGACGGGCCAGCGCCCAACAAGTCCATAGTCGGGAGGGAGGCGAAGTACGTGTCTTGCAAGGTATATATATTCCTCGCTCATTGTGTGATAGGTCTACGAATACCGTGGGCCCACGGGCAGTGACCGAAAGGCTCTGGCCGAGAATCTCAAGGGCCGATTTGATTGGATCTGGGTGCATGATTTGCGTGCAGACGTCAAGGACGCGTTTGCGTCCCTCGCGGCTAAGGGAATCATTTCGTGATCGAGCTTGTAGACGTTGAAATTCGCGCTCGTCCTGTTGTACAATAATGAAACAGAACTGACGATCATGCACGATGAAGATATAGACGACGTTCAACGACCGCAACTCTGCCCTCGCCGGACCAAGGAAAGATCAAACGGCTGCAGTAAATTAACCATGTTGCCGCACGCGAATAATAGTACACTTCTAATCTAGGATCAATAAGGATGCGAATTGGAGCCTATCCCCGTTCTATCTATATCCTATACGGCTTACGCACCACTCGGCCGCGAGCCAGAGCCCGAGCCAGAGGCCAACGGCCCAGACGCAGACGCAGATGCAGATGCGGGCGTGCCGCTGAAGCTCGTGCTCGCTCCTACCGAGCTCCCGAGGCTGCCGTAGAACCCTTCCGAGCCACTGTCCGGCCGCAGATCCTTCGTCGCCCTTGAACGTCCACGATCAATCTCGGCAGCATCCCTGACGCGCCTCTTCTTCCCTTTCGACTGCGATGGGGTAGTCTGTTGGGCTTGCGGAGAGATTTTAGGTCGCGATGACGCGGGCTGGTACGGCGGACGGAGGAAGCAAACGAGGACAAGGGCGACGAAGAGGATGCCAGCGGCCGCGACGAAAATCGCCTTAGGGTACGTCCCAACCGTGTTGGCATACAGGACGCCGAAGACGATGGGCCCGATAATCTGCTGACCGATGGCCTGAACGGAGGCCATCGCTCCGAAGAGCTGGCCCTTGCCGGCGCCAGGGGAGACCGTTTTGCTGTCCGCAGCGGCAAACGTTTCGCTCCTTTGCACGATGCACAGCGCGAGGCTCTGCAGCGCCGGGACGACGCCGCTGCCGAATCCGCTGAGGACGGAGAGGAAGGTAAACAGTGCGGGAGTCGACGGCACAAGCGCAACGAGCGCGTTGGAGAGAATGTCGATTACGAGGGAGACGCGAACGAGCGCGAGATCGAACGCCATCTCCTTCGCGAGGGATTCAGAGGTGATCTTCGCCGGCTTCGGCTTGAACGTCGAGATGAAGACTATCCAATAACACCGATCAGTATGACACGGTAATGGGAGGTGCTCGCAAAACGTACAGGGCATGACGAGCAGCGTATACACCATCCGCACACCGGCGGCGATGGTGATGTAGATCGATAGCTAGGGTCGATGGTCATTACCGGAAACGCGTCCAAGTATAATAGATCACACCTGTTCGGCACCCCACTCGAATGCATGTTCTGCATAGAGGTACTTGATCTGGAATAAACCCTGAGGTACGATCAACACTTTAGCGTGGCGAACCAAGAACAGATCGACTTACCGTGCTCAACAAGTACCCGAACAATGCAGCGCCCAGCCAAGTCATGCTGTAGTCCATCTTGGTAACGCCCATCTTTCTCGGATCCGCAACGCGTCGCGGGAGGAAGAAAGCGAAGGAGAGCAGGATGCGGGCGATGTGGCCCTGTTTCTCTAGTTCGGCGACCGCGCGATCAGGGAGTGGCTGCTGAGATGTAGCAGCCGAAGCAGCCGGGACAGCGACAGGCGTGTGCACACGGCTCATGCTCCTCGTTGGGGAGAAGAAGACCTCGGTACCAACTACGTCGGTTCCGCCGATCTCGGCCTCTTCGTCGTCCTCGATGATCCTGCGCTCTTCCTCCAGCAGTGCTTGTTCCTCGTCCGCCGCCTGTTCCACGACTATGGCAGGCGTTGCCTTGGCATTATGCTTATTGCGCGACTCCGGGACGACGAACGCGGTGAAGAGGAAGTTGACAAAGGAGATAGTCGCAGCGATGACGAACACAGAAGTGACCGTCTTCGTCTACGCGTTCCGGTCAGTCCTTATTTCTACGCCTGATTTCTCGTAGTACTTACTCCAGAGATAGGCAACGTGTGGTCCTGGAAGTACGGCAGGGGGATCGGGTTCCTGATGAAAAAACCTCCGAGAGCAGGGCCGAAAGAGACGCCGAGGAACATGATCCCGATGAATCGGGAGAAGATGTGAGCCCGAGAGCCATCCGACGTGCAGTCAGCAACGTAGGCCGAGGTCGTGGCTTGCATGGAGGACCAGCCGCCGAGGAGACCCTCTATGAAGGGCGCGATGACAAGGAGAACCTGGCCATACTCGGGGCGAGAGAGCGCGGAATGGGGGTGCGAGACCAGGACGAAGATGGAGTCGCTGCGATCGCGTAGTTAGTCCACGCCATTGCTCGAAACGAGACCGACGAGTACGCACGTGACAAACATGCCGAGGCAGCCCATGGCGAGGACGCGGGTACGGCCCTTGCGCTCGCCAAAGTGTCCCCACCAGGCGGTGGTGATGGCGGACATGGTGCCCATGGTGGTCATCATGACCGCTTGTATGCGCGCGGCACCAGACTGAACTGCGGGATCTCGGAGACAAGGATTCGATGAGCGCGGTTTTTTCGCGATCGGCTCGGGCTCGACGTGGATCCCGGGCGACGACGGTCTGTGGTTGTGTGTTGCGGGCTCATGTCCGGACGTTGGTCCAGACCATGGTAAAGGTTGTGGGGAAGGAGCGCGTGGGTTGAATATGATGCGTGATAAGGAGTCGGGAGAGAGCGAGTGCTGGTCGAGAGCGGCAGAAAGGACGTCTAAGGTAGAAAACGCAGAAGACGCTTGGTGAGAAGCGTTGGTGTGGTTATACCGTTCGTAGACGGCGTCGCAGGCGAGCTGGGTGTAGACCTGCACTCTGGGCGCGAGCGTCATCCCGCGCACCACGGCGCTGAGCAGCGCAAATGGGACCAGCCTGTGTCGGGGTGATCATGAAGCGGCTGCGAACGCTAAAGCGCGAGGAGAAGACGGACCATAGCGGCCTGGGACGATACCAAGCCTTCTTGACCGGTGGCCGCTCGGTGGCCAGCAGCGGTTGCGTCTCCGACATGTTACTAACTGGAGAGCCGTGGTGGGCGTTGACAAGAACGACGATAAGTAAGTTACGGCCGTGTAGATATGCTGGGGCCGACTGCGGGAGCGCTTAGCTTGCTCGACGCAGCGCTACGGAGCCCCATGCGGTCGTCGTCCGGATCAGGCATGTCACCAGTGACAAAGCCCCTTATCACCGCACAGCCACTGCCGTGCCGTCCCTTGCGGGGGCGATCCTTCCTTCTCTCCTCCTCGAGCGATATCAACCCGTGTTCATCACATTCAGCGCGATGCAGCCGTGCAACTCGGCACCCGGGTAGGTGAAAGCACTTGCACTTGCAGTGAGGAGGCCACCGGGGTGTTGCCTTGAGTGCACTTACGACGGCCGTTCTCAGAATCAAATCCGCCCGTTGGGAGCGCGTCTGCCGGGACGGAGCGGCAAGAATCTCTGGACCACCGCGTTCGGACCACGCGACCGCTGCCTGACTGAACTCGACTCAACCTGCCTCTGGTCGGTGCGGTACTCAGCCTCTCCATCAAACTTGAGCATGGTCAACGCCTGGATCCCATCAACTCTGCTTGATACCACTCAGTGCCGCTCAAGCTGCAGGTACACAAGACCAGGTGGACATGAAAAGCAAAAAGCCCAAACCTCTATCGATCGGAGCACGAGCGGGGCTACCATAAACATAGCTATCGACACCACGCCTCCGAAGTCGAAGTCCGCTAGAGCTTCGTATTCTGGTCAAAAGCTTCCCTGACCTATATCGACGCTCAATCGTCTCTTCTATCGTGAGTACATCGCGCCTCACCAGGCTCATGTACTTGTCGTCCGCGAGGACTCGGTACCCGGTCAGCGCCAGCGACTTGATGGCGAACAGCATTTGCTCGTGCGCCTCCGTGCTCTTGGCCGCATCCGCGAACGGAGGAGAATGTGGAACAACGCCAGGATTGTTGGTGATGCCTAGACGATGCCAGGCATTGGTATCGGCGTGCTATCCGTCGACGTGAAAGTACTATACTCACCGACGTTGGGGTGCAGCGCAGGGATGTCTGCGGCACAAGAGTCAACGAGAGCGATAGGGAACCTCAAAGGAGCAGCACGTACCGTAACTGACGTTCCCCTGTGTGTAGTTTAGGTTACAACGCGTACCGACGAAGTGACAAAACAGAACTCACGAAGTCCGTCGACCCTCCTGTTGGAGCATTGACCATGGGAGGATCGATGTGGTAACGCCGCTTCATGGTGTCCCAGTATTCCATCGCTGCAGTACCGCTCAGCTCGTGGTGCAGCTACAGGTCACAAGTGGTTCAACCTAGCCATTTGTTCTGGTGAAGGTCGGCGTACGACCACTCGACGTTGATCTTGTGCGTGCAACCGGTGGAGGCAGATGCCGCTCTGCTCCAAACATGAGTATGGGGGTTGCAGCACCCGTTCGTACACGCCACTCACTCCAGAGCTTCTAGCACTCGTGTTTGAAGTAGCTCCAGCTCGCTTTGCGAAGGCGCACGGATGAGCCATGTCATCTTGGAGTAGTCAGGTATAGCTGTGCGAGGCCGCGAGGGTCAATACGCGTGAAACTATCTTCCGCTATATCTCGCTCACTTTGCGGGACATGATTTTCTGTGCCCTTTATCACCCCATGAACACGCTGATCGGGCTTGATGTGCTGTCTCAGTGCCCCGATACTGTACTGACGATTAACAATGTCTAGCGGTGTCTGCCGGAATGGATCACCTGGAATACGCCTGAACAGCGGCATCGAGAGCATTTCTTCCATCCCACGGATTGAATGCCGCCTGCGGAATTCGAGTTAGATGGCCCTTGTAGAGCGCGACAAGGGAGTAGCACTTACATGGGCTCTGTGGTTTTGACGTTGATTGTCAGTTCTCGCATATACTGCCTCAGAATTGAACCAACGCACGCCTTGCCGAAATATTCGACTTCCACGATGGAGCATGCTAGGGACGTGCCTATGTCATGCTTAGGGCCTGGGTGACACCTACAACATCTTCTGAATACCGTCGATACGATTTAGCAGAATACGTACATCAAACAAGCGTCCATTCCTTTGAATGCTCCTTTTTTCAGAAGCGTGACTTTGCCTGCGCCTCCTTCCTCGGCTGTAATGACTTCATAAACACGAGAAATTTTGAAATAATCGAGACCTCGTTACCTGGGGTGCCGAGCAATACCACGGTCCCATTCACATCTTCTGATATCAAAGCCTCTTTGATAGCCAATGCGATGCCGCAACCAGACATGGCGCTGTCAGAAAAGAGCCAGAATCAGGGCGTGATTGCGAGCCACACCAAAGCACTGACATCAGGTTGTGCCCGCATGCATGCCCCATGCCAGGCAAAGCATCCATTTCTGCACAAATCCCAATAGTCCGTCCGCCAGACCCACGAGTATAGGTGGCTCTCCAGGCAGTGGGCAGTTCTTCATACGGATTGGTTACTTCAAATCCGCGCGCCAACATGAACTCAACGAGCACGTCGTGTGCATGCCTAGAAGTCTTGTGAACAAACGCGTAATGACAGACTGGATTGTAGGAAACTTGCCTCTCCTCAAACATGAGCTCGGGATGCGCTGGTATAGGGCTCAGCATTGAACACAACAGGAAACACGTTCGCAGTACCGTGTATATCCAAGCTAAGGTCTCTGAGCGTAGAGGATGCTTCATCGACCTTGGCTTCGATGTGATTCATCACATCAGGAAAGGGTGCATTGACGTCGGTCGACATTTGGACCATGGAGACGTAGACAGTTCCAACGAGGAAGAGCAGGACGAAGCACGTCCGTTTGCTAGAATGGCTTCTAGCCTACAGACTTCAATCGCGTAGACTGAAGACGTATCCACGCCTACGAGTCTTATAGTAATGGCGGGGATGGGCGATTGCAATGGGTAGTGGCGCACACAACGCATGCGTCATGAATCGATTGGCCAGGTCACGCGAATATTTTGGGCATAGTGAAGGATCTGAAGATGGAGAACTACGGGTCGGCGGTGCTCGGGCCTGTGCGTGAGACCAGCACAGAGGGAAGGATGTGTGCGTAAAAGATGGATGGCGGAACTACGGAATGGAGACTAACCCTCTGACATCTTCGTGGACAGCGTGGTTCGAGTATCGGTCCTGGTGGCACCAGAGCGAACCTGATGCAGAGGGCAAATGCAGGAATGCGTTTCAGCGTCCGTGCAAGTAAGACGGAAGATTCTCGCTCCGGGCGACACAAGAGGCAGTTGTCATGGAAGATTGATTGGTATGGCAAGCCCTTCCAATACGCTGAGCGCCGATAACGCAGTGAAGGGTGGACAGCGTTTGCATATTCCCATACATAGACGTCGAGCGGGTCCTCGGGCGTTCGTGATATCCGATCTAGGTCCGTAATTGACGCGTTCAATTCCTGTGGGGGCGCATGAACACGCATGGCACTCCAAGCATACGAAATACGAAGCGTTGTCGTAGGTCGCCGTTGACGGGCAGTTCCGAAGAGATATCAAGACGAATGTCCTGCACAGCAGGGGCTGTGACGTACTTTGGTAAGCAGGCGTCAGCGTAGAGAGGACCGGTGCGAACCCCACCAGAGCTCCGATCCCTCAAAGAGGCGATTTCGGCCATTTTCGGGGTTCCGGTGAAGGTCCCAAGAGGCCGAATTTCGGGGATTTGACATCAGACATGGCCCCGAATTGACGATTTTCGGGGCAAAAATGGGATCGGAGCTCTCCGAGACGCTTCACAGCTCACCGTCGCCTAATACACTTCAGTGTACCTAGTTGTGCACCAGAGCACTCCTTGTCGTCTCAATCGGATCCAGATCCCGACTATGTTCACATCCCCGTCTCCGTCTCCGTGCTCGATTTGTCCATGTTCCCGCCATTCTCATTGCTTGCTCCCATTGTTTGCCTGTTCGGGGACTTCACAGCTCTCAGAAATTCTTCCATGTTCTTTATTAGCACGTCCTGGATGCAGCGGACAAGATCCTTGTACGTGCGCCAAGCACTTGAAGCCTGCCTGATTCTGCCTATCGGTGGAGAGAATGGTGGTGGAAGCAATTCGGGACATGGCGAGCTCTAAAAGTATAGTGAGTAGATGAGCGCAGTGGGGACTCGAATTTGCGCATGCCAAACAGGCAATAATTTTCTGGATGGGTACCCAGCCAGTGTCTCATAGCCTAGCGGTTGTCACGTCTGGGCTCCAATTTCAGGGATCTTGGATCGAACCCCGCTCCTAATCGCCTGTTTTCGGAGCAGACCAGGATGTAACATTTTGCCCTCTACCCCCATGTTTTCGGGGTTTTGGTATCGGAGCTCGCGCCCGTAAACGGGTGTTTTTCGGGGATTTTGGTGGCTGTGTGGATCGGAGCTCTGGCGGTATTCGCACCGGTCCTCCTTCTTATCCCCAGCATTTTATTCGACCCTTCGACTGAACCACGCCGTATGTTCGCCGACGACAGCGCCGCTGTGACTCGTTCTCACTGAACGACATCTTACTGCTGATTTGATGACATATAAGAGACTGGCGTGCAGCGGCTGCAGCAATGTCGGCGTATGAGTGCCGGTCTCCAAGCCTTGAATCAGCCTTTTGCGTGAGGCAGCAATTCGTTTCAGGTGTGGATGTGACTCGGAGCGCTGTTCTGCGTACTTGACCAGAGGGGCACACGACCAAGCCACCCTAATTCATTAGCCGACCATATACACGTAGGAAGACTGTC